CTACGTAAAGAATCGTTAATGAAGGCGCATTAAGCTACTACTCTGTTTTTTGGTGCTAATTTATTAAATCAGGCTGGAACTGAAACAAATATGTTGGGATATTACGCAACTATTAAGGTTGAAGAGAGTATACAATAATAATTATAGAAATTGTCCTATTCATAATCTTCTTCTTTGGAAGATCTCACGAAACTAACATACTACTTTTACTGTTCAAAACTTCTGGGTATAAAAAAAATATTTTTTTGTCAATGGTATTTTCTACTTTATCGATTGATTGGTAAAATTATGGTGGATGGGATGAAATCCTTCATTTTCTCGTCTGTCAACCAACAAAGGATCATGTAGAAACTGTAGTATTAGTGATGAATTCGTGAAATTTGAGCCTGGTTAATTAAAGCAAGTAGTAATGAGATGCATTTTTGCCGGCTTTACTCAAATTTCAGGAACTTATTTGCAATTAATGAGGAGCAAACAAACCGTACGTACATACTAATTAATTGGCTAATGCAGTTGTAGGATTTATGCTTGCATTTGTGTTTGCTATTTGTGCATATTTTCGAGATCGATGTCGCTCTGAAATAATCGAATTCATTAAGTAAGGCTCGGCTACTTGGCTTGATGCTTATCGCATTGCAGTGGGTTAAGCTTTTGGGAATGCTCATTAAGGTACAATGCAAATTGATGAAAGATAAGTGTAGAAGCAATAGACTCAATTTTATATTAAAAATGAAAAAGGATGAATGGTTGAAAAGGAAGCCAACAGATGGACTTACTTAAATATCCTAAATAAAGAAAAATTTTGTGAAACAATAATAAGCACAGTGATTTACAATTCGACTAAGCAAATCTAAATTGTAATAAATGATATTTTCCATTCATAAATAAAGATCACGGCCTTGTTTCCAATATGTTAAACGACAATGGCTGGTATTATTTTAGTTTCAAAATGATTGAGTGTAAGAAGTATGCTGCATGTCATGCAGCATACTTCTTACACTCAATCATTTTGAGTTTAAAGGACAGATGTCATTTCATCTATTTCGATTTAATGGAATAATCGAATTTCCTCTGTTAATCGATAACTACACTACTAATTATTTACCAAACTAAATGGAATAATAGAAATGAATTTGAAATCTGATTAGGCTTGATAACAATATTTAAATTTAATTATACTTTCGCAATTATCTGTCACTCACTGAAGGGCTCATGGATACAATTATATATCCACCACTTTTTTGCTTAACAAATGCAGCTTTTATAGCTTTATAGAGATGACGCAATCACTTTTTATCATTTTTGATAAGACGATTTAAATCGATTGATATTTTATATTTTAAATATTGTAGAACATCAGAAAAAAAATATTTCTTTCAATTTTCAGCCCGTATACAAAGAATAAGGATCGAAATATTAGATGTAGACGAACCGCCGTCATTTCACAATGGACCGAAGCCATATCAGGCTGTGGTAGCATATGATGAGCCTGTCGGGATGCATGTCTACAAGGTGAATTCTGAAAAAAGAAAGAACTTCTGAATTCGTTTCTTTGAAGAGAATAGGTGAACTATGTTCATGAGAAAATGTTACAGTGTTAGCACTTTCAAATTAAAAAAAACTTTTGTGACATAGAAGAGACTCACAAAAGACATTCAGAGGAAGGGAAAAGGCTAAAAAAATTTGCTCATTCCTGAAATTTATTTGTTTATTACGAGTCAAATTAAATGCTTTCATAAAATCTATTGAATTGGTTTAGGACATTGTCGAAGAGAAAATACTATCAGAATGATTATCAAATAACGAAATAAGATTAATGTTCTTTATTTGTTTCCGTTGGCTTTTTTTCCATTTCGTTGAGCTCAATATTGCATCAATTTTTAGCTCATCCTTTTTCTTATCGTTTTTATTTTATATCACAAATGAAGAAGTCATTAATTTCCCGGAGGGGAAAAAAAAAAGCTATGGAAGCCGGAATAGAAACTGCCATTCTAAGTAAGGAAAGGATTTAGGGAAAGAGAAGAAATGGAATTAGATGAAATAGTACTACGAGGTATTAAATTGGTTTAAAAATAAACCAAATAAATGATACATTTTATAGCAAACAACCCAATGAATAATTATTTGAAAAACACATTCAAGAAAAAGTGGGGTTAGTTTAGTGATTCAAAAGGCAAGGTTTGGCAAATGCTTAATGAATTACAGTTCATTGCTCGAGATGAAGCTGGTGATGGTGACGATGATGTCGAATACCGGCTTATCAACACCGAACGTTAGTATCGTTATTCCATCGACATAAATGAGTAGTTATTACGATGATAACAAATAATTATAAGACAGTAATAAGAAATAACCGAAAGTTTAGTAGATTTCAGTGTGGTTAATAATGAAAATGAAAAATTGCTTCATTGATTCTAAGATCTTTGATGGAATTAATCAGTCTTTGGTCTGATTATGCTAATTACATGATGATTTTCCTGATATGAGGATGAGATATTGCAGTAATACTTGCAATACTTTACTAATTTCTACGTTCTAGTTTGAAATCTCAAGGATAAAGGGACGAAATAAAATTGGGGACTGTTAGTAAACTACAAAAATGACATTACAACGACAATCATACACTAAATTTTGATATTTTACTAACTTTTGATGCTTTTATTCCTCACTTCAATAAATATTTCTGTTACTTAACATTCAAATGAATTGAGTTCCGGTTTCTTACCTGGAAAGTTCAGGAGAAGAAACTTCATTTGGGTCGAAATTTTTTTCAAGTCTTGGAATTTCTTGATTCTGTATATTTTTCGAATTTCATGATCATTGTTTTGTAGCGCGAGGGACATTCACAGTAGATCCAGTGAGTGGAGTGGTGCAAACAGCTTTGAAACATTATAAACCTGGTGAAACTTACCGTGTTTTCGTTCAAGCGCGAGATCGAACACCGACAGATCCCGAAGTTCCTCAGGTAAGAACTTGAAGTTGCATTTTCTTGATTGAGGTTCAGTTATTTTACCTGTAGAACTTATTTAACATAGCTCAGATAAGAATTACACAAACTTCTAAAGTTTCTTTGGATTTTCGGATACATATGACTATTCGTTCGCAATTTCATTCTACTTTATGTGAGATTGAAATGTCTCCCCATTGATTTTATCTTCTATTTTTGAATGGATTTTATCTGTTGAAAACTAGTTTTTTAATTTCAGGATAGCGAAGTTGCAGTACTGGAAGTATATGCTGGTGATCGTGCTCCACAGTTTGTTGAGCAACAGTATACAGTTTTTGTTCCAGAGAATACTGAACTTGGCTCCAGGTATTGCTACTGACTATTTTGCAAGTCTTATAATAAAAAATAGTTTCCAAAGCATTAAGCATATTTTCATCTTAAAATGTGAAGTAAATTTGTAAAATACGTAAGCGCTTAACTAAAATGGTCTTTAACTGATTAAAAATGAAAGAATGAAGACATCAACTACCATAACATTCAGCATAGTGGCTATCAAAGCAGAGTGTTTCAAACCAATCGACAAGAGACGTAGCAAAGGTAAACTGTTGTATCAGCTATATTTGGATACAACTCTAGTGGAACATGAATCATCACCGTACTTCACAATTGACGCTGAACATGGCTTGGTTCAATTGATAAAAGCGCTCGATTACGATGACAATACTCAACCAAAGCATCATCAGTTAGCAGGTTTGTTAAATTTTACATCATGTTCAATTTGACAGATGAGGAAGAATGATGCATGAAGTCGAATTTGTTTATGCTGAAATAATAATTAAAAGGTCACAGGGCAATAATGACTAGCAGATTGTTAACTAATGGTTCATATAGTCTTCTTTATTCGTATGTGCTATATGAATTTTCCGCTCCAATTTGTTTCATGAAATTTCTAATCATCTCATAATAGACTCTGGCTATCTTAATTTTTGCTTCTGTCGATAAATGGATTCAAATAGTCTGCCTTGCATTTAAAATCCAATTTCATTTAATATGCTTCATTCGGTTTTGAGGAGTTTCAACTAACTGTGAGTCGTATCATACATTACAAGGTATGGTTTACTTACTGAATTGAAATTCCGATGTTTTAAATATCAGGGTTACTTGGCTTAAATTAATTTCTTCTTCCTAAGTTAGAATTAAGCAAACAACGAAATTAAACATGCAGACTATGACAAAGTACCTGATACGTCTGCTTGAAAAAGATATGGACAAGAGCTGCTATTCAAGCCGATACCTAATGACTTGTTCTTAGAAATTTCAAACAATTTAAATAGTATACTGCCCCTGTCCTGACCCTCCCCCCCCCCCCTCCTTGACTTAAAATAGTCGCCTCTATCTCTCTCCTCCAAGTTCCCAGGAACCTTCAAAAAAATATCTTTTCGAAAGGTAAAAAAGCCTTTTGTGAGTTTTCATTTGCAGAGCCCTTTTTTTTGTCCTACTGCAAATCAAATTGAAGGATAGAATAAATCTTACTTAAGTCAAGAATAAAATCTAGCCTGAATAAGCCGAATGATTCAAAGGCTTGTAGGGGATAAAGCCTAATAATGTAGTCATTCATTTCTCTAATTCTTTTAAGAAGTTCATCATTAAAATATCTCTTCAAGATTAATGAATTCTAAATATCCAAAAGAAATATGCAAAAACTTGCATATATTTGAATTGCTGCTAAATGTAAGTTAGTAATATTAAATATTAAAATAATCAACATATTAGAAAATTATAAAATGTATAAAAGAAAGACTTGGATGATGGGAATTCAAAAATGAAATTTTGTAAGATTTCAGTTATCGCACGTGAAGATAGTAAAGAAAGTAAAGTACCACTGGATGTTTACATCAAAGATGTGAATGATAACGCTCCTATATTCACACAACCTATTTATAGTGCTACAATCAAAGAAGACATAACATCTGGTTCTACTATCTTGACAGGTAAACTTAATTAAAGAAACAAATCCTTTCTGATCAACGTTACTGGATTAGATATCATATAAAGACGCTAATAAGGAGCATTTTTTCCTGAAATCTCTTTTTAATAAAATTTTGGCCATGCTTTTTAAATGGAAGAAAAAAAACATAAAATCAAAAATGAATCCAGGAATTCATATTTTGCGGCTGTTTCAGTACAAGCAGATGACAAAGATGACGGTGAAAACGCTCGAATTAAGTATAGCTTAGATGACAATAATTTTACGATCAATGATCGAGGAGAAATATCGGCTCGAAGACGTCTGGATGCAGATCAAAATCGAGAACGCTTCTTTATCTATCGTTTCAATGTTACAGCAACTGATTGTGGTGAACCATCACTAAGTAGTAGTGCTGTGGTAAGTACCATTTTTGTTTTACGGATGTGTTATATATAATGCGTATTGCATGTGTCACTTCACACACTATTTTCTATGTTTACAGTAAGTACAGTTTGTCTTCCAACTTAGCTTCTTTAGACTAAACTCAGCAGCTTATTTCGTTTTAAAACAAAAAAAAAAAATTTCTATGGATGAATCACACCTTTTTACTTAACGAAATTTTTATGGACTTCAATTTCAGGTGCATATTCGTACAGAAAATACAAATGATGAAGCTCCGACTTTTATCCCGAATGGAAGTTATCATGCATTTGTTGCCGAAGATGCTCAAAGTGGAACACCGATAGTGCAAACTCAAGCAATTGACCCAGATCGAGATCAGGTAGCTGTAAATTGAGGAATCTCCTTTCCGAATTTATGTTTATTTTAATTTACATCTTCAAAAGATAGCTATTACTTTGAAATATATGTATTACTTTGAAATATATGTAAATTTCAAGGTTTTCTATACATTTCTGTTGTCGAATGGTGTCGAAACATCGGTAACTCAATTGTTTGAGATTGATCAAGATACTGGTAAGCCATTCGATAACTTAATCTTCATCAAACTCTGTCATCATGACAAAATTTTCTTTGACATTTGCGAGATTCATCAACTGACTGTGATTTTTTTCATACTTCATTAAATGCAGTAAATACTTTCTTAAATGAAATGTTTTATAATTTTGATTCCGAATCGAAAATTGTAGGATTAATTAGACTTGGACCGAACGTGAAGCCGGCAGATCTTGTACATGAGGAATCTCCGTACAACTTGACAGTAGTGGCACGAGATGATGGATCTTGCTGCGGACAAGGCGCAAGCGAACTTCATATGCAAACTGCTACAGTCACTATTGGTAAGTGTTTCATGTTTAAACCGATTTTGAACAGGAGGAGTTTTCATTTTCAGCTTCCTCTTTTTTTGGTTGTGATTGTGTATTTCCTAGACTTAATATAACTGATCTGCTGAAGGTTCATTTTCTAATTTGCAGATATCGCGGATGTGAACAACAACAAGCCGGAATTTCGCAGTTGTGAGATCTACAGCAGTATCGCCAAAATTGAGGAAGGCGATTATAAAACAAATGCACCAGTTATTTTAAAGGTTACTGTTTTAAAGATTTTATGATAAATCTCGGAGATAGGTATTATGATAATATGTCTTGCTCCTGAGTTTTTAGTTCCGATTACATCCCCTTTCTGATTCTTTTGATCGGTATCAGTCATGATTTTCCAAGGACTAAATTCCAACAGTCTAAATCAGTACAACTCCAAATTTTATAACTGCATTTAGGTAATGGCGACTGACGAAGATTCACCACCAAACGGAGAAATCGTTTACTCGTTATATTATTCACAGTCTGAATCCCGTAAACCGTTTATTATAAACTCGGAAACGGGTGAACTGAGACCATCACCGTTTGTACGCTTTGATCGTGAACAAAGGGCGCAGGAAGAAGTTACAGTAAAGGTGGGTTGTTTTTCATGGAAATCCTCAAAGTTTGACTTGAAATAAAATGGGTGATAGCTAAGGAAATCTAATTCCAGGCGACAGATAAGGGTGAAAGACCGTTGATTGGCTTCTGTCAATTTACTGTGCAAGTTCTTGATGTAAATGACAATCCACCACAATTTGACCGGACATTTTATGAAACTTCGATCTCGAGGAATGTCGATATTGGGTAACTCTTTTTCTTTTGATTTTAAAGTTTGACTCCAACAACTTGCCTTGTTTACTGGAAGACTTTTGCGTCCTTCGATAAATACAAAATCAATCACAAAACAAAGCGTCAAATGCTCACATGTCGCAGAAAGAGACGTAATTGTTTGTGTGTCGTTGAATGTATATAATGGATGGAAATTGATTTATTGATTGATTCCAGGAATGTTTTGGGCTTTTCTGCCGCAAATATATAAATTTGCAGTTCTTTAACGAAATTGTTGTTAAATTCTATCAAATGGTGTGCAGTATATTTTAATCTTTTGGTTTTTCTCCTAAATTTCAGTGCTTGGTTGAAAAGAATTTCTAACTCGAATTTTCTCAGACGCCACTAAGCTAAACATTATAATAGGCTAGCTTGGTATAAAGCTTCAATAAAATATTATTTCAAATAAATGTCAATTCTGTCCTGATTGGATATTTCAGGTATTCGGTGATAAATGTCTTTGCGGATGACGCCGATGCTCCACAGAATGCTCGAATAACCTATTCGTTGGCTGAGGATATATTGGCTGGCAAGGAACATTACAAGGATTATAAATTTTTTCAAATAATCAATGAAAATAATGGTGAAATCACACTGGCCAGTCAAATTCCACCATATGTTAGTTGAATTAAATTTTAACAGTTTGATTTTGAAGACGAAAACTATAAACTAACCGTTTAATTTACATTTTGTAATTTAATCGAAAAGTCAGAAATTTCTCTGCGTTTTTTTTTTT